TAATAAAAATATACTATAAATATTAAAAAATTTTAAAAAAATAATTTAATTTTATTATATAAAAATAAAAATAATAAAGTATTTATACTATAATATTAATAAATCTCTAATTATTATAATTATTCTAAATCTCTTTATTATTATTCTCTAATTTTATTATATTACCCCTAATATACTATATATTAAGTAGGTAAAATATATTATAATTAATAGACTAAAATAATCTCTTTATCTAGTTCTTAATCTTAAGATAATAGATAAAAATCTTAGTAGTATAGATTTATTAAGTATAGGCTATTATATTTACTATCCTACTAGATATTACCTAAATTTTCCTAAGACTAATCTACACAGGCAGGATAATAGGGAAGTACTTTTTATATAAGTAGGTATATTAAGTATACTACTATTCTAGATTTAGGTATATATAAGAATAGGCTTTTATAGAATTATTATTTATATATTACTAAGACTTAATATAATATAGGTAATATAGTATCTATATAATAGTAACTAGGCTAGTAAAGGTAACTAAAATAGTTAGAGTAGCTAGGACTATAATAATAGCAGGAATAATAGGAGCTAGTATAATAATAGGAGCTAGTATAATAATAGTAGTAGGAATAGCTAGAGTTACTATAGTAGAAAAAGTAAAGGAAAAGGTAGTAAGAGTTATTATAATATTAAAAGTAATTATAAAGGATAAGGGGAATATAATCTTACTAGATAATAAAGTAATAATAGTAGGAATTATAAAAAATATACTAGTAATAATAGGGATTACAGGTATTATAATTAATATAAATATAAGGGGATTTACTATAGGAGCTTATAAATAATTAATATAATAGACTTATATTACTAGAATAAAGATATTTATAAAGAAAGAAATAATAGTAGTTAAATAAGTTTTTTTCTATAAAAATATAGCTAGTATAGTATTTAATAGAAAATATTTAAAAAGAGTTATAAGATTTATAATATAATTAGTTATTATTATAATATTTAAGTAATAATAACTTACCTAATATAATATATTAACTTATTAAAAGGAATTTTTTAAAATATAAATTAAGCTAGAAAAAATATATATAAAAGAATATTTTCTTATAATATTTATATTATAATAATATCTTTATTTATTATTAATATATTTAGTAAATTACTTACTTTTATTTATTATTTTATTTAAAATAAAATATAATATTATTTATATCTTATTTAATAAAATATAATTAATAAAAGTAATATTATATATATTATTATTATTTCTAGTATTAAATAAAAAAATAGATTATATTATACTAACTAGAACTAGCTTCTTCTTAGTAGAGTACTAAGCTAGATTAGGTATAGTATATATAGTATATAGATATACTACTAAGAAGAGGGAAGGTAATTATTATAGTAATTATATAATATATAATTACATGCTAAACTATATATTAAGTAACTAAGAATAATTAGGAGAATAGTAATATTTAAATTACCTATACTATACTAGTAACTTAACTAGGTAATATAAATAATAATATAATAACCCCTAAAGTACTAAGAGGCAAGTACTTTATTTTGTTACTTCTAATACCTTCCTACTGCCCTTGTACTCCGTGTAGCTTTGCTTCCTTTACCAACACTACCCATACCCAAGCGCCTCGCCAGCGAGACACTTACATATATCTATAAGGTATAGTATCTAGATATAAAGAAAATAATTTAGTTAAGGAATATAATATTTAATAAAAATAATATTAATAGAATAGATAGAATATAATTATAATTTCCTAATAAATTAAAACTAAATAATAATAATTTATCTAGAGTAACTATACTTATTAATACTAAAAGAGAAAGAATAACTTATAATAAAGTATTTTAAAGTAATATTATTCCTTAAATCTTATTATTAGTAACTAATAATAAAGTTATTATAGGAAGAATTTAAATATTAATACTTAATCTAGCTCTACCTAAATTAAACTTACTAGAACTAGAGACAGGTACTAACTTAATATTTCTATATATACCTGCCTCTGGGGCTATCTCTAAACTAATCCTACCTAGACTAAAGGTAGGTACCAAGCTTATCATACTAGAGTAGATACCTGCCTCTAGGCCTGCCTCTAGGGCTGCTTCTAAAATTATCTCTAAGTAAAATAATCAAGTAATTAGTAAAGATATAGAGAAAATAATATAATCTAGTATAAAGGAATAATCTAGGTAGGATAAATATAAAAGAATAATTAATTATTTTATTATAGATAATTTATATACTAGTTAACCTATTTTTAAAAGGATACTAGTATTATAACTAATATAAAGGCTTCTAAAATTATTTACCTAATATAAGGAGGTCTTACTAGTTTTAGAGCTTTCTAAAGATAACTATACTCTAATATCTATAGATATACTAAAAAAAAAGTATTTAAAGACTAGAAAGTAGGTTAAATTTAATATTAGGAATATAGAAATAATTAATTAGGTAAAGATATAAAATCCTACTAGTAAGAATACTAGTAGTAGTATTACTACTTTATAGAGATTTTTAAGATTTATAAAAGGTTAGTATTAAAGTATTTACTTTAAAAATAAGCAGGCAAAGTAATTATAGGAAGAGAAGGTAAAATAGGAATAATAATCTTAATCCTAGTCTATATTACCTCTAAAAATGCTTTTAAAAATACCTTGTTTACTAGAATCTTATCTAAAGCTAGGAGAATTACCTAATATAATTACTATAATATTACTAGATACTATATTACTAGATTCTAGTAATTTTATACTAGAGATTAAGCTTATAAAGACTTATAAAATTAGAATCTTATAAATCTATATTTAAGTAATAAAATTATTATAAAAGGATTACTAGATATAAGTAATATAAAGTTAAATTAGTAAGCTTAAAGTTATTTAAATTTATAAATTTATATTATTATTAAAGAATATAAAGGTCTTACTAGGAAAATAAATATATAATTTAAAGTTAGATATAAATAATAATATATTATAATTTTATATAAGATAGGTTATATATAGAAATTTCTAAAAATTAGGTATAGACTTTAATTAAGTCTACTTCTTAGTAGTAGTAGATACTTTAGTAAAGCTATTTTTAAGTATAGTTACTTATTTTAATTTAAAATAAGTATAATTTAATATAGTAACTACCTATCTTAATATAATAATTAAGAATTAAAAGATCTATATATACTAATTAACTAATTTTAATAAGTAAGATAATATAATATATCTACTACTCTAAGTCCTATATAAATTATAATAGTTAGTATTTCTTTAGTATAAGGAATTTTATAATATTCTAGTAAAAATTAATATAAAGATAATTAATAAAGACTTATATTTCTATTATAATCTAGATTAGTAGCTAATACTTATTATTTATATTAATAATATAATAGTTACTAGCCCTAATAAAGTAAATATTTAATAATTTATAAATAAGCTAGAAAAATATTTTAAATTAAAGTAATTAAGTAAACCTATATAATTTTTAGGATATAATATTTATAGACTACTTAGTAGTCTAATATTAATATTCTAATATATATATATCCAAAAGATGCTTTATAAATAGAATTTCTATAATCTTTAGCCATATTATATACTAATAACTCTAGGATAGAAATTAATTAAAGAAATACTAGAATCTAGTAATATTACCTAAAATACTAGTAATATTATTCCAGATACTATATATGCCTTTACTAATAAAGATATTACTTATTATTAGGAATTAATTAGATTATTAAATTAGATTATTATTTAGACCTAACTAGATATTCAATATGCAATAATATAACTACTATAAAGAAATTATAATCCTAGTAAGTTAGACTATAATATAATTAAACAAGTTTTCTAATATTTAAAGAAGACTTTAAACTATATAATAATCTTAAGTTATTTAGATAAATTATTATATATATATATTAATACCTCCTATATAAATTATAAAGATAAGAAGTTAATAAAAGGCTTTATATTTTTTATATTTAGAATACTAATTATATAAAGATTAATAAAGTAATTACTAGTTACTTTAAATTTAATTATTACTAAATTTATTATATAGGATACTATAATAAAGCTAGTTATATAATTATAAAAACTATATATAGCTATTAAATTAGAAAAATCTATAAAAGATATTATATCTTTATATATTAATTCTATAAATATTATTATTTTAATAAAGAAGCTAAATTATATATCTATACTTTATTAGATAGATATTTACTACTTCTTTATTAAAGAGGTAATTAAAAATAGTAAAATTTAATTATAAATAATTAATAGAGAGGATAATATTACTAATAGGCTAATTAAAATACTACTAACTATAAAATTTAATAAATTTATTAAGAGATTAGATTTTAGTAGATTAGAGATAGACTCTAAATAACTTTATATAATAAATATATTATTAAAGGGGGTATATTAGAGTGCTATATTTAATAAATATAACTAATACTATTATAAAGTAGCATCACTATAAAAAAGAAGATAGTAACACATAACTACTCTATATATTTAGGCTACTATTTCCTTCTAGATCTTTATACTTCTTCCAAGCATCTTTCCTTCTCTATTTTCCTAGTTAGACCTAATTGAATTAATTTTAGTCAACTCTCTACCATCATAGTTTGACGACCTTCATCATAATATGGATGTCAGCACGAGGTTACACCAACAAACTACATAAATAGAAAGCAGTTTGACAATGCTTATACCTTCACGTTCGATACTCACTACCCTAGGTATTAAGACATCCAAGGAAACAATATTGGAAGTCAAGGTAGTTACCGACATGTTATGCTTGAATGCTATTGATAAACCTGTCCTCGCTCCAGGTTGAAAAGAACTAACTAGTTAGGCCATGGAGTACTTTAGTAAGCAAACTTTTTAGTGCCTGCTTAGTTAACTACTACTTTCCTATACATATTAGTTAGATTCTATTCGTATTATCCCGTCTTATCCCGTTCCTGATCCAGATGTATTTAAACCGCCTGTTTTACCTAGGAGTAGGAGAATCAGACCTTCATCTCTCAATGGCAGATTACTAGTGATTTGTTCCAGAATTACTACATGGACTGAACAATTCTGTATTGAGGGAATGCGATTGTTGCCTGGTTTATGAGGCTTCCGAGCTATCGATTTCCTTCATCTTCTCTACTACCGGGCTGGGGGGGGATAAGATGTATGTTTTTGCATTCTTTTTTTTGTGATTATAGAATGCTAATCTCGTATAAAGTTTGTCCTTTAGAAGTATCAAATACATACGACCATAGGAAGTGGAAAATAGGGCTTCCCGTCCGCTCAGCCGTACTCAAGCCACTTGCCGGTCAGTTAGTAGTATGGTGGGTGACCACATGCGAATCCTGACTGTTGTATGTTTTTTTTTTTGACCTCAACCCCCCTCAACCGTCGGTACGAAGACCGACGGCTTGGGGCACAACTTAGTTTCTGGCAGAATCTCGTCCAAAACAGTAGTTCAACCCAGAATATATATATACATTGGCCATTTCAGATAGATTGCAATGAGCCTGGGCAATAATCCAAGTCACGCACACGCTTCCTATCCGACTCCTCCAGCGCCTGAAAAATAGCCTCATCTTCCGAGTTAATCTTATCCGGGGGGGGGGGTTCGGCCCGACGACATTTTCGCATGCCCTTGGGCATTATTTTAACAGACCCCTCATGTCGCTCCTGGGCTTTCTGTCTTGACTCGGCAAAATCTAGGTAATCACACAGGTCCCTTGCAGATATATTTATTTCTTGGTCAAAATCAGGATACCCCTTGGTTTCATGTTCAGTCGCGAAGTCCTTGAGCTTTAATATTAGGGGCGTTGACTCCGTGGGGAGGCCATTGCTTGTGCGAAATACCTACATTTTGAGTAAATGATTAATACAGTCCCTTTCTCTCCACAGATTCCAGCTGCAATATAATCTCCTGGACTACCTTCGCGCAGAATGTTTCGTGGAGGGGAGTCGGCATACGGATCGTTAAACGCGATTTCAAGGGCTCATAATCATATCTATCCCCCATCAATAATGGGCTTCCCGAAGATAAGAGCCCATATAAACCTACCGAATCTTTCTGTATCTGGCCAGGTTGCTGCCCTTTCCCACCTGTCCCTGCAATTCATTATACTCGTCAAGACTCAGAGAGTACTCCGTCCAGGGGTCTTGTTGAAATCCGTGATAATGTTTTTCGAAGATGTTGATGATCCGTGATTTGCTCGACAGGGAGGCTTTCCCTGTCGAAGGGGGGGGTCAGAGGGGATTGAACGAAACTGTTGGGAGGCGTGGTATCGACCGCCATATGTATCAGTTAAGGTCGATCCTGACGATCAATTTTGGCATTTTGGTTCGCAGATTCGACAGCGAAGGGGTCGTCAGGCCTGGGGCTTCAATACAATACTTGGGAGCCGCGGCCTTTCTGTACATACATAGCAGAAGCCTAACTAAAATGGGTACGGCAAGCTAGTATGTATGTACCGCCATTCCGCAACAATCAAAATTCTCACTAAGACCTTTGACCTTCTAGTTGACCTTGTAGTTGTAGAACAGACCGTGGTTTATGATCAGGTATGGCTCTTAAAATCGAGCCAGGTCTTAATGCAGCCGTGCTTACCACGCGGCAAGGACGAGCAGATACTCATGAGTGGACTGCGGACCCCTTCCACTCCCCATTCCTTAGGTATCAAGCAAAGTAGATATCTGCGCCTTGCCTCCCCCATGTTTTGAGCGCAGTCCAGGTCGGAAACGAAGCTCATAGCAGTTTGGCCTGAACTATCCGTTGTAGAGCTTATCCAAACTGAGTCATAGGATCCCAGCAGCCGACCTCTACGGATATGCCAGGTGTAATCATCCTTTGGGCGAATATCTTCAAGAAAAGGAAAGACCGAATTTACCGATGGCATGGAGAAGGCTATGAGATAATGAATAACTTTCTTATAGAAAATGAAGTGGGGATAAACTAACCATCAGGATGGAATTTTACTCGCAGAATTATTAGCTCTAGTGATTCGTCTGAGAGAGGTTGGAAGAGTGCATCTATAATTGCTAATTGAAGTGACCCCAGTAGATTTAATAAGATGAGCACGGGAAGTCTGATTTTTCGGCCCTGGTTAAACTTTAGCTTCCTTTCAATAACATTGCTTTATACTACCTACCGTCTATATATCTGTTGCTTAACCAGGGCCTGTTCATTTTCTGATATATCTTTCAAAGAACGGGGTGGACGAAAACTGATCAAGTAAGGTGTGACAGGGGAGAAAGTGTATGAGTGAGAAAAGTCATACAGGACCGTATCATCAAAGTCTCCTGGTAGTCTAAAATGATCATCTCGTACATCACCATGTGTGATCCCGAGTCTGTGCAATGCTATGATACGGCGGATACGGTCATGGAAAAGACTATGCAGTTAGCTACCTCTTATTCCTTTAACTATGGCAAGCTTCGCGTCGACCTCTTCAAAGATAACTCTCCTACTGATGGTCGAGCTTACTGGCCCAAGAGGGAGCTTTTACCTGAAACAACTGATACATATCTGGCTGGGTTGGATTATCGAGGGCTGCTGGGATGGGCGATTTCAGACTGCCCATTGTGTCCTACAAGCATTGGACAATGTACGGCTCCCTCCTGTAGGCCAATCCCATATCATTCGGCTTGGCCAAGCTATCAAAAATTCCATCAAAGGTCACCCGCTTATGACTATCATTGGCGTGGTTGGTCTGACACTGCTTCTTGGAAGGAGGGTACTTTCACAATTCCGAGGCCTTTGATATATTTCTGGAGTCTATTTCTAATCTTTTTTTTATATATTAATCCCCTCAAAGGGAGCAAGACAACAGACCACTTTTGCGAGCAAATAGTCTCCAAAGCATGGAGTGCCATTCGGCCCATCTGGCTGCCAAGTTCAACTGTAGTCGGGAGGACATCGGCTAGTATCCCACGCTCCGGCCATACTTTTCGCGTGTAATCAACACTCGTCCGTTTAACCTCTCTGATTGTCGTACTGACGTATCCTGGGGTTGTGTACGCCCGTCATAAGGCCAGACCAGAGTCAAAATCCTTTCAAGCTGTCAAATATACTCCTGCGTTGAACGTGGAATGCATGAAAATGTGCCTTCTGCCTTTCAGGTGCTGGACGCCCACGACCAGACTCTGGTGAATACAGTCATAATAAAGTTGTTGTATGTTTTACTTTTTGGTTGTTTGGTTATACTATCTTCAAGTCTTCTCCACCTCAGTATGATAATTTAACCACACAAGACATGTCATGCGAGTCGGGGATCCCCACCCGTTCAAGTATGTACCACCGTAATAGCCCTAACCGGCAAAAACCTAGCAACTGTCCTTGCGAACAATGACATTCCAATTCGTCTTGTGGAAAATTTGGCCGGCAATAGAGAGCCCACTGGGGTTCCAGCCAATTCGACGACAGTGTTTCTCGAGTTCCCACACACCGTCCCCAATGCTACCGAATGATTCCAATGTCTTTGGCTTGGTGTCCTATATTGCGATACATCAGTAAGAGTCGACCACCCGCCATGCAAAGCGAAAAAACGAGAAGACAGAGAAGGAGGGGAGGAGAAGGGGTCGTACATCGTTACACCAGTAGATAGCAGCATTATACGAGCAGCTCACTCGACCACAAGCACCAGGGCCCGGCGAATTGGTCGGTCGACCAGAAAGCCCGAAGAGGTAAGCGCGTCCCTCAGCAATGGCACCCGCATTGCAATACTCCCAGCGTCCGCCGCAGAAGTAGCTTGCATCCGAGAAGTCGGTGCGTTTGGCGAGCTCAGCACGCTTCTCGTGTGCATGAGCCTCCAGCTTGCTGTCGAAGCCGAAGTCCTCGTTCCACTTGGGGTTCCGCGAGAGAAGCTCCCGGTGGACTTCCTGTGCGGTGCCGTTGAGGTACACCTTTTCGCCGCCGGGAGTGAGCTCAAACTCCCATTCGGGGACGAAGATGTCGCGTTTCGCGAAGTCGACGTCGACGGCGGTGCCGAGGGCCTGGAGCGGTCAGTGCCGATACTCGTTCTTGAGCTATGAGAAGGGGGTGCGAAGAGAGGCCTACCGAGGTGCATAACGCACCGAGGGCGAGGATGAGGCGGAAGGCTTTCATTTTGAAAAAAGTTGAAGCAGAATCAGCTCGGAGGGATTGACGAGAAGAAATGATCTTTGATGTTCAAGCTATCTCCCAAGCTATCTCCCCATACTTCACTTCTTATATACCTCTCGTGCGGATGAAGATACATCGCGGCCCCAACCAACGGCCCCAAATGCTGTCGACGAGCGCACGATACAGCCGTATCGAGCCACATTCTGTGCCGGGCAAGTAGAGCTAAGAAACAATGTTGATAGACCTGGTCTGACATAAGAAATTAGGATGTCCAACTCTTGCTACTTTGGTAAGTAATCGATATTTTCAGCCCCAGCCAAGCCTGCAGCGGAAACGCTCTGCGCCGCAGCCATTCTTCACCAGAGTGTCTTGGATAATGTCATGCCACACTGCATGGCAAGACCTGTAGATGCAATCCTGTAGCCTTTGATGGAATAGTATACTAATGATATAACTTGACATGCAACTCACACATAGGATGACGCGAGCTAGGAAGGGTCTCCTTTTGACTCAAGACGAAAATACTAGGGCATACTCCTAGAGCTGGAATGCAAAATGCCATTCAATTCATGGCCATGCACGCTCTATTCTAAAACCCTCGAGACCAATGATAACGGAAATAAATTGTAGATAGCTAGGCACATACCAGCTAACATAACAGCATAAGGGCAGCCCAACGCAAATATGTGGACATAAAAGGGTATTGGCTCCATCTAATCCAAAAAAAAGAGGTAAATCGCTAATCAAAAGCATAATCGTTAGTAGTATCAATAGTCTATATCAGCCTTTATGATATTTCCAGCCCTTTTTTTTCACCGCGCGAAACGCCGGCAACGTACCATCACGGGTTTGCTTGCGAGCAATTTCAATAACCAGGAAACGAAAAAAATCTGCAAGAGTCCAGTAGCTGCTATGTGCACTCAGCATATTGAGGTATTGTATATTTAGTGGCCCACTGCCACCGGAGAGAAAATAATCAATCTGGCCGTTATCGTTCAGTAGGAGCATCCTCTTCTCGGCGATTTCCTCGCGAGTAAAATCATGTGTTTCCATCTCGACATTAGATGGGAGCTTTGCGATGGCAGAGGGCCGAACCGGCACAGAAGTCGCGGAAGCAATCAAACTCTGAGGTGAGTTCCAACGAAAAACGCCGCCAAACGATCGCCAAATAGAGGCAGATGAGCTAGGGATGGAGGCAGTTTTGAGTGAATTAGCGAGATCACTATCGACTGCCGCATTAACACGATACGCGATGGCTATCCAGGAGTTAGTCGCAAAGCCTCAAATTGCCACACTTGGGACGGTGGACTTACGGTCTGTCGTATGCATAATGTTGTACAGATTATCTACGGCTAAACAGCCGTACATGTCCGCTTCACCAGCAACTCCACTGAGTCGATCATCTCCCTCACATCCAGACTTATCTCGGCCCTTTCGAGGCAGAATATTCCCTACAATAAGTAAAGCGTTAGTTGTGTTATGAAAACCGATCCGAGGGATGTTTGTCCAACCTTTGTTGATAAATAGGAACAGTCCAACTGGGCTTCCGCAGATGAAAAGGTTCTTCGTGTCGAACTCGAAGATGTCTCTGTGAATGCTGGTACTAGAGAAGTCGAAGTCGGGAATTTTTGTTGGCTGATGGCTGAGGATATCTATGGCCATTGCGCTTCCGAGGGAGTGTGCAAGCAAATGCACCCGGCCATGTTGTTGAAACCCCGGGTTGTTTTTACACCAAATCCGAAACACTCGGTTGGCTTCCTTGACAACTGCTTCGATCATTTTAGACTTGTGGTGTGACAAATAATAAGGAATGTCAAGGATAACGTCGCTGATCAAAGATCTTACAGCGGGGATGGTCTCTGGTGTGATATCCTTCAAAGTGAAATGATTGGCAGCTGGGCCATCTGTTACTTGGGATTCGAGATGGGCGTCCTCAAGAGACAGGGTCGAGCGCCAATTAATAGGCAGAACCATAATTCCTCCATGGCCATCGCGAACATGTGGCCAGACTGGTTCGCTGTTTAGCTCCAGGTTGACTTGTCTTCGAAAGGCGTTGATTGCATGCGTGAAGTGAAAGCTCTCCATACGTTCCGATAGCTTCTGGCCAATGCCGTGGATGACAAAAAGTAGATCTGTCGGCATAGGTCGGGACTCTTCCATCGCGCAAGCATAGCAGATTTGGCCACCAGTGGGGGTAACGGGTTTAGACTGAGCTCCTCGGAGGTAGTTTCTGACGTCCACAGGGCTAGGTTTCGATGGATGTAATTTCTCCCACGCGCGCTGGCTAAATCCACGCACAACGGGTATCCCGATCTGTCGTCCCTTTCGAACGGCGCTGAGCGGTCTTCTTCCCCGGGACACAGACGGCAATAGACTTGGACGAAGGATCTGTGCATTCTTTCCGTCAACGTAGATGACGCTCGAGGTCATGTATGGCTTTACAGCCGCAGCATGTGCAGTAGAACCACCGGCGGCTCGATTGTCGGTAAAGGTTGAGGGCTCGAGGATATCGTTCCCAGTTCCCTGGCTATTTATTGCCATGGTCGGTGATAAAACATCATCTTTAGACCAGAGCTGATGCACAATTTTCATTTCTGCATCTGCACCATTCTCCACGCAGCTATTGAGTTCATCTTGCCAGGTTTCAGTCCATGGTTTTAAGTAAACGTAACCATCTTCCAGTTTGTTGGCAAGGTCTGTTTCCACTGGTAGCATAGTGTTCTTATAAAACCATGTGGCACGAAGAACATTTGAGATATCATGGAGGGGGCTCCAGTATATAGGTTTCATCTAAAACATGTCAGCGACTTGTATTTATTATAGGTCTAAATGGGCGCGGAGTGCATGTTACCTTGAGGGTTGGCAATTCGACTAGGTGAAGTCGAGATACACCCACAGGGATTTTCGACTGGACCTCTTCTGCGACCTCTGTCTCTCCATCGGTATCTTCCCCAGAGACCCCCGGCGATTGTTCCCGGTAAACACTAGTTCTTAGCCCCGATGGTTTTTGCGTAGTGTAACTTGAGCTGATGTGCTGATGTTCCGCGTGAACCTCCTGGTTCCCGTCCCTTAATGAAACAGACTCGACTGATCGCGCCAACGGACTAGATGAAGCAATAGGAGCCCTTATAAAGGGCGATCCGCTAATGCTTACATCACGAGAATGTCCAAGAGAGCCTATGCTCTCCCTATCAAGACCTGCATCCTCAGTGTTTGGGGACCTATTAGTATTGCGTCTTACGGGATTAATCTTGTCGCTTGGTGATATTTCTCTCCTGCGATGGCTGCCCTGTACATGGCTATCCTCTAGGCTGCTGTTGAGGGATGCTGATTGATCGCGCTGCCGCCCCCAGGATCCACCCGCCTTGCTACCCACACTGCCTAATTCGTCATGGCGAGTTTCGGGGCTCTGTTTGGCCTTCGTTTCCAACGATAAGGATGGAGTAACCGGATGACCACTCCGGCTCCCAGTTAAACTAGAACTCCTCCAAGTACCTGTGTCTCCCACACTGTCCTGCGTCAATGCAGCGTCGCTCCCTGGTACTGCTATCCCTGAATTCCGCTTGGACACATCAGCCCCATATGTTTTCGCCCTTTCAGCTTTTTTTGGTCTATTTTCACGTTGTATCGCTAGCCATGCCTCTTCAAGCGCAATATTATCTCTTACCGAGAATGGCTGTGGTGGCGCTCGCACATCCTCGTTTGCTTGACCGCCAGTTGGAGGCGGTAAGGCGCTCAGGGGGTCATCGATCGGTAACGAGGAGGTGTAGAAGAATTGGGGACGAGGTCTAGGTGGTTTATCCTGGGGATGCCAGGCTAAAGGATCTGGATCGTCATCGGCCAAGAGACACGTCGCTCCGTAGGTATGAAGAGGACCAGCCATCGTAGAGGCACGGTGGGAGCTTCACGGAGCTCTGTTAGTATCGGGGTCGCCGCAAAGAAGCACAGCTGGGACAAATTAGTCAAGATAAGACTAGCATAGTGAGTGAGAGGCCGTAGCTAGATGACTTGGCTGGCTGGAACCTGGAGTAGTAGGTGTCCGGTCAGCAAGGGGGATGACGGCTGTCACAGAGTTTAAAGTACTCCGAAGAGGCGAATCATTCATCGAGCGGCTAGTAAATATAAAGAGCCACGCATCGTAGTGATAGTTATAAGGAGAGAATCTCTCTGCTAAAGCTTCAAAACAAAGGAAGATAGATAGATAGATATAACTATGCCTTGATCCCAAAGATCCGGCGCGTGAACCTATGACGTCGACCCACGTGCTTGGGCGATCCGCCAGAATTCGCCAAACAAACAACAGACCGACTCTCCCCCAATCCTACAACAACATCTGGTTGCAGCAGGCACTACTACTGCAGTAGAGACGCAGCATAGCCGGACTACTTATCTGACACGTAAAGGTAAAGTTAAGCCTAAATGACGATCCCCTGTGTTATTGCCTGATCTCAAGAAATAAAAACTCCGAATATAAAGACAAACTAACTCCCGAAATCAAGATAATATACATTATAAATTATACGAAAGGCTAATTTTGAATGCCACTTCCCGACGCTGGTTTTTTTTTTGGTCGTTCGTTCGTGATGATGGGCTGAATTCAACGCGATTGATGGCCCGACAAGGATGGACTACGTTCGTGTTGAGCAAGGTACTTCTTGGCCCAATGCTCCTTCATTAGACCTAGTGTTCGCACTTGCAGGTCTTCGAACGCGAGGAATGTATCGGCCGGTGCACCTAACATGTCAAGAAGCTTCTGGATGTCGTGCATGTGCTTCCGGATGACGCTGTCGGGAGCGCAGAAAGTCCGAACACTCATCTCTTTGACAATTGCTTTCCAATTGTGTAGGTTCGAATTCAGAAGCACTGGGTTCGTCGAACTCTCGCCGCTGAAGTGCAAGGTTCGAATATTGGACAAGATTAGCCGTCGTTGAGTGGCTTGATCAAAGCGGAATTCCGCGACTTGTGGTCTGTTTTTGGAGCCCCAGAAGTTGGCGACCTTCTTGATTGAGTCTTTGGATATGCGGCCGTCTTTGTATTGCTGGACAAGGAAGTTGTTTGCACTAACACAGATCATGACCTCCATCTCAGAATACAGCTTCGCCTGCACCTCGGGATCAAAAGAAACGGGAATAGTCAATTCCGGTACCACCCTCGGTTCGTAAGAGGTGTGGAATGGATTTGGATATACCCTGGCCATGTCACCAGCCTGCTCAATGTTAGGGCGCTCGATGAATTATGGTGACTAGTGATCGAAACTTACAATTTCTTCGACATGTTGCTTAATCTTCTTTCCTAGGCCCTTCAAGCTCTTGTATCTCAGCCTGTTGGTGGGTGGAGTTCCCAATTCAGCGGTGCAGCCAAGCCAACCGTTCTCTCCAAAGAGCTTCTTGTGCGAGGACCTAGTCCGGCCCAGCGTAAGGTCAACCGGATCAGGCGTCACTGCGTCGTCGTCATCGTGGAAACTGTCACAGTCGTTCATTACAGTCGGAGCCTTTGACGGGTGCCGCTCATCGACCTCCACGACTGCCATCTGGCTGACCTGACGTCCATGGTACTCATCATAGGTAGGTTTGCATTCACTGTGAGTATGAAGAGCCACCCTGAGATTTTCCGCAACTGGAACGGCAGGAAGAGGCTTGATATGAAACAGTGGCGATGCAGGCATTTCGAAAGGAAGAGAAGAAGGGTCAGAACCCGAATAATTGGATTGCAAAGAGGGAGCCTTGGACGAATCATCCGAGGAGAACGAGGTATCGGTAAGACCGGGGGAATCAGTCCAAAAGGCTCTGTACTCTTCATAGAAGGGATTGAGCTTCGCGATATCCTCGTATGTGAGGTTTCTGCTGCCATCTTAGCAACGGGGTCGCGACGATCAGGGCCGAACTTACTCTGGGCTAAGCATAATGGGAACTTCACAAGTTTCACCGCTCATCTTTACTCTGAAAGTAGAATTGAGTCAGATGCCAATTGCAAGGGAATCCGACATAGTTGTGTAAGAAGTCAAAGATAGCACGATCCGTAGCGTTCGAGCAGTCTTGAGGAGTCGAAGTATGCAAGTTACAAGTGTAAAGCAATATGATATCGGCAGGAATATAGGAAGGCATCGAGCTTGAGGTTTGTGATACTCCTGAAATTCTATTGTTGATTGAGGAGATTTCAACAAGGACAATATACTGCATTATGTCTATTGATGGTTTGACATCACTCAATTGAAGAACAATTGATTGATTCTTGCATTGACTCACATATATAGATATAGTGTTTTGTGAATAAGCTATAGAAGACAAAGTGATTCTTCTCTTTTTATACTGACTCATGCTGAACAATGTATGATTGACAACAATGGTATTCTATTTACTATTCATCCATTCTCAGACCTTAAATTCAGATATATACCATGTATATATATATAGACAGAATGGAGAATATCTCAAGTACACAAAGGACCTATTGAGGAGTTCTTCCCATATAATTATGAATAGTTAGTAAAAGTGTTTAAAATTTTAATAAGCATCCTAGTTTTATTGTCTTATGCCTATTTCCTTTGATGCGCATAGAGCAACAATGCATATTAGTATATTTAAGCCTTTTGTGTCACCATCTACCATCCAAGTACACATTACTTCGTACCCATGGGCCTGAACTCGGTACCTTGACAGGATAAACGTGTCTAAGTAAACAGCATCTAGGTATACAGTATACAAACCGTACACAAGAGCCAGTCCAAGGCATGGATGAGATTTCGTCCTGAAGCCAATGGACCCGGGGAACAGCATGGGATTGTTGGGGGCGCTTGGTTCGGAATCTTCCCAGGTGGTCAGAAAAAAGCCGAGATGCAATGCCTGGGGGATGGATATTCGCAGATTCGGGACTAGCCCGCCACTAGCGATGAGAAAAACCTCGGTACGGAGGCGTGCACCAAAAGACTTGGGATTCGCGCTAGTAAGAATGGTATTCAGATCATAATAACACTAGTATTTTATTATGACAATTGATTAGATAGATACATCTAGTTGCTTTTTTCTCTTGAATCCTTCACTTAACCTATTTTGATGCTATTCACACCGCTATTTCACCCATGAAGATGGTCTTCTTGGTGTTTTATATTGCCTACCTGCCTGCCTACCTGCCTGCCTACCTGCCTACCTACCTGCCTGCCTGCCTGCCTGCCTACCTGCCTGCCTACCTGCCTGCCTACCTGCCTGCCTACCTGCCTGCCTACCTGCCTGCCTACCTGCCTGCCTACCTGCCTGCCATGCCTTGCTTAGGATTCCATGGGATTGAAATACGCGCTCAAGTGGTTACTTTATGGGGTCTTGGACATTCGACTCAGGATATCTCTACACGACTAGAGGTTCTTAAGTCAATAGTTTGGAACATTATAAAGAAGGCATAAGAGCGTGGATATGATCCTAAAATAAGCTTTTGCTTGAAAATGGAATATCTTGAAGATAGGAAGTATTCTGGTTGTCCAAAAGAGATATCTGAAGAAGTAGAGTAATCTATTTTAGATAGTATCTGTAAGGATCAAGCAGGACGTGAAAAATCTTCAGAAATGTTAGCTTTTGAAGCTAGTATCTCTCTATCTTCTATTTTACAAATTTTAAAGAAGCATGGCTTTACTACTATAAAACCTTTATATAAACCTGGTCTAACTAAAGCAATGAAGACTGCTAGGTTAAAATTTTGTCTTGATCATTAATTTTGGACCCTTGAAGACTGGAAAAATGTTATTTTTACTGATAAAACTGTCACGGCGACCACGTGACATGCAACCACATGCCGAACCACATGCCAAACCACATACCCAGTAACTAAGGGTAATCAGGAGAATAGTAATATTTAAGTTACCTGTACTATGCTAGTAACTTAACTAGATAATATAAATAGTAATATAATAACTCCTAAAGTATTAAGAGATAAGTATTTTATTTTATTATTTTTAATACCTTCTTATTATTCTTATACTTTATATAGCTTTACTTCCTTTACTAATATTATTTATACCTAAGTATCTTACTAGTAAGATACTTATAATTTAAAGTACTTCTTAACTAAGTAAAGTAATATAGTAAGTATAAGAAGGATTATTTACTTTTTCTTCTAAGAAATAATAGATCTAAATTTTATAGAATCTATAATTATAGTCCTAGAAATTATTATTAAGGAAGATTTAATAGTACTAGTAATTTTCTAATACTAACTTATTAAATTAATAAAAGATAATAAGTTATAATATATAGTCTAATATATAATATAAGTTATATAGATAGATAGAAAAAAGATACTTAAATTTAAGTTTTTTAAGATATAAAACTTAAAGAAATTTAATATTTTTTTAAAAAATTTTTAAGACTATTTTAGATTATAAAAGAAATTTTATAAAAATAATATAATTAAGATTTATTATATTATAGATTACCTAAAAAATAATATAAAATAAATATAATATTCTAAGTATAAAGTAAATTCTAAAAAATTTATTTATATAGAATTTACTAAGTTCTTATAAAATTTTCTAGAATTAGAGAGAGACTATAAGTAAATAATAGCTTATTAATTCCTATATATAAGATAAGGATTATAATAGAATATATAAACTCTAATAATCTAGATAAAGGAGTTTATTCTAATAATTAAAGTTAATCTTAAAAGATTCTTCTTGTCATGGGGGGCAGGCAGGCAGTAGGTGTAGCTAACAGCAGGGTGTATATTCAGGCTATCTGCGTACAGGTATAACAGGTAGGGGTCAGGTCAGGATAAGGATGTAGCTTAAAGAGCTATAATAGGATTAGGGGTAATATAGTTTAAATATAGAAGTAGAGGTAGATAGTTAGGATAGAATCTAACTAGATAGGTATATAACTATATTATAATAGTATTCCCTCTTTTAGGCTAAGCTCTAGTAAAGTATTCTTAAGGTCCAGGCTTTCTAGAGTAATAATAATAATAAGTAATAATATATTTAGTAATATTTTTTAGATAGCTAGTAGGAATTTTAGTAATAGTAAAGTATTTAACTTACTTAATAATATACTTTAAATATAGGTAGCTACTTTAATTATAGTAATTTTAATAGGAGTTAACTACTTTTTTAATCTCTTATTCCTTAATACTATTAACTTTAATATATAGAAGTTTAGTTTTTTCTTATCTAGATAATAAATTTTTAATAATTAAATATAATAATTTAATATAAAATACTAGATATATTTTTATACTTTTAAATAAGTCTAGTTTATAAATATAAGGGCTAATAATCCTCCTAATAAAAAAGGAGCCTAGATTTTTCTAGTCTAATTTTTTTTAAGAATATAAGGTTATAATATTCTTAATATTTAATTAGATTAATTAGCTCTTAATATAGTATCTAGTAGGATAATATTTCTAATTAGTATAGTATTTATAGCAGGCTTAAATAATAATTATAATAATATAGTAATATTTTTATATTTATTTTATAATTAAAGTAAATTAGTAAATATTATAAGTTTATAAGTAATAATTAGATAGAATAGGCTTAAATCTTATATAAAGATTAAAATTATATAGAGTAAAGAATAAGAAGTATCTAGTAATCTTAAAATTAATATTATTAGTAATAAATTTTACTATAAGTAGCTATTTAGCTTAATTATTTTATAAATAATTAATATAGACTTATAAATATTATTTTAAAATAGTATTTATATATTTAGTTTACCTATTAATTTTAGAATAATAAGTAATAAATAAGAATAATTTTATCTTTAAAATATAGTTTAAATATATTTAAAATATTAATATAAATTAGAGTTCTTAATTAAATATAATAAATTTAGAGAATCTATAAAATCTTTAAATATAGTTTTAGAATAAATAGGTAGCTCCCTTAATATTATAAATATTATTATAGAAAATATAGTATTAAAACTTTATTAATTAATTAATTATTATTATAATAGTATTAAAGCCTAAACTTTAGAATAAATATATAATAAAATTAATAAATATATTTTTTTAGGAATTCTTAAATATAAGTAAGGAATAGAATACTTTTTAATACCTATTTTAATAGAATATAGATTATTTATAAGTATAGTAATTATAAATTTATTATTTTATAAATTATAGTATTCTAGGCTAGTAATATAATTATAATAATAATTTATAAATTTTTAATTTACTTTAATAACTAGTAACTATATTTTTATAATATTTATATATTAGTTCTACCTTTAATTCTTCTATATTAGGAATATATAATTAGTTATAGTAAAATAAGAGTTTAAAATAGTAAGTATACTTAAATAATATAATTAGTAAATAATAATTATAGCCTTTTTTTAGATTTTCTAAAATATTATTAGAGGCTAGATCTTATTTATAATCCTTATCTAGGCATTTTTTTAGCTATTTAAGGAGCTAGATAGTCTCTTCTTCTTCAGGTTTAAGTAGCTAGAAGTATACTAACTTCCTTCTAGTAGTAGCTTAAAGCTAGATTAATTATAATATTTACTAGCTCTATAACTTTTTTAAGTATTTAGGTAAGAAGCTTACCAAGTTTTCTTTTTTTAATATTATTTAACTCTAGTATAATAAGTATTTATCCCCCTTCTTAAAGAGATCCTGTAATCTTCTAGTTAAGCTATTTAATTTTATCCTATACTTATCTAGATAATAATTAATTATGAAATTAAAATAGAATAAGAATTTAGATTATTAGGCTTATTATTAATTTAATATCTTAATTATTATAAAATACTTTAGATTTTTATAATTAATTATAATTTTAATTAAATACTAGTATTTTTCTAGTTCTAGAATCTATTCTTTTAAATAATAAATAATTATTAGTAACTTCTTATTATATATCTTATAATTATATTTAATTAGAATTATTTTTTTTAAGTAGAATCCTACTAGGTATAAAATTCTATTATTATTATATTATAATAATATTCTAGTAAATATAAAGTTTAAGATATTAATTTTTAAAATAATTAATTAGTTTTAATTAAAGGACCTTAGTATTAATTTCTTAATAAATTTTATTTTTAGTATTTTAAAAGTAGTCTAGTAGATTAGAATTTATAAGAATAAAATTTTTTTCTTTTTTAAGATAGTAATAGGTATAAAAATCTATAAGAATCCTTTAATAAAGTATTAATAAAATCTAGTAAATCTTATAAAATTCTTAATATTAGTAACTATCTTAAGTAGCTTCTAATCTACTATAATCTTAATTTTTTTAGGATTTATATAGGTACCTTCTCTTCTAATAATAATACTTAGGAACTTAACTTCTAGCTAGTAAAATTTATATTTAAATATCTTTATATATAAGTTATTATTTCTTAGAATTTATAATATTTATTTTAAATATTTAGTATATTTTTTTTTTATATAGCTATAGATTAGGATATTATTTAAGAATATATTATAGAATATATTTATATATTATTATAGGATATTATTTATAAAATATTAGAAAATAGCTAGGATACTAATTAGGCTAAATAATATAATTAGGGACTTATATAATCTAAAATAAATTTAAAAAGTAGTTAGGTACTCTAACCCCTTCTTAATATAAATATTATTAAAGATAGCTACTAGATTAATCTTAGAGAAGTACTATATTTCCTATAAATTATTTAGGATTTCTTTAATTAAGAGTAATAGATAGTAGTCCTTAATTAATATAATATTTAGTCCTTAATAATCTATATATAGGTAGAGGCTACCTCTAGGTTTATTAATAAATAAAATAAAAAAAATAGCTAGAAATAAGTTAGAATATATAAAATCTTTCTTTAGATTCTTTTCTAGTTATTCCTTTAAAATAATTAATTATACTTATAATATTAGATATAATTTATTAAATAAGGGCTATTTTTTTTCTTAAATCTTAATATTATAATTATATAATTAGTATAGTAATAGCTTCTCTATTTTTTAAGGATTAAATATATTTTAGAAATTTTATAATTCTAGAGAAAGTATAAATAGTAATTTAAGATTAATATCTCTATACTTTAGTTTTTTATTAATTTTATCTAATAAGATCTAATATAGTTTCTATACTAAATAATAGGTATATATAGCTAGTACTCTTAAGGATATTTAGTATATTTTTATAAATATAAAGAGTTTTAATTCTAGTAATTTTTTTTATTAATTTAGTTACTTAGGTTAATCTTTCTAGAGAATATTTATTAGGGCCCTTACTCTTATAAGTTTAAGAAGTATATTATAGTATTTATAGTAGTATTAGTTATTAAATATAATTATTTAATTAGAGAAATATATTTTTAGGTTATATATAATAAGCTAGGCTAGTTCTAGGATAATTAAGTAATAGGAAAAATAGATAATATAGAAGATAGATTTTTAATTATAATAATTATTTAATAATAGA